TCGGTCTAAACTTTCTACGTACATGCGAGGCCAGAGAGTGGTGAGCAAGATGTTCTACTGCTTCTCGGTTGTCGTCATTTCTTCGGCCGTCATCGCGACCGCCGAAAGACACACTTCCGCTTGCGGGGACAACGAATTCTATTTACATAGAAAACACAGTTTCCTTTCAGAATGTCTTCGACACCTCCAGAAGAGGTATATCGGATTGAATCGTGAAGCTGTTTGCTGACATGAGCGTGAGCGTACGGATTCCAGGGAGAGGGGGAAGACGTTCTCTCTTTGCGGAGAATGATTTATTGGAGCAGAGGGATATTTCTGGATCTTCAACCGTTTTATGAATGTGATGACTTCCGAGTTGAGACCACTGAAGCGCGTAGTGGCATCTGCCTCTCAATACGATGAGCACCGTCCGCCTAATGAGATGGAGTTAAATTAATACGGAGCACTCGATCGGCAACAATTGTGACGAGCGCAGTCGCTCGCATTCTGCTCAGACTCGGCTTCACGTGTGATTCAGGTATGCCGTCTGCGTTCTTACGGAGGGCCTGGGTGCAGCGTCACTGCTCGAGCTCCAGCTCTCGCCCGGATGACCTCCGCCAATTCAAATCTCAGGTTTCAGACAAGCAATGATGTGGAATAACGAATTTAATAACTCCGTCGAGTAACTCGCCGAATATGCTTCGCCTGTTCCTCCTCACCCTGAGCTGTAGATCGTAACGGAAGCGCAAACGACTTCAACTCTCCGGATTATATGTCTCCCCCGGATTTCGCTCGGACACACTCCAATTCCAAAAAGTATCTGTGGGAAGCACAAAATACTGATCGACCCCACAGAATCTGAGAGCAAGCTCGGGTTGCGATCTCGCCGACGCCTGAATGGGCACATCTCATCTCAAGTTGCGATGATTTACTCATCGTTCCCGTCAATCTCCAAACATTGAATCGGCATCGGAGTCACGGTTCCGTGGAAGCCGGGATCCCCCGTGTTCCCCGAACAGTTTCCCCGGGAGCCGCCACAGCTGAGACGCAGCGAACAGAGCGGCGCGCTAATTAAGAGATGAGTGAGTCCGAGCTCGGGTAGCGGGTTGATTAGAACTTTTTAAGGACAACCAACAGGGCCGTTTAGAGGGGTTAACGATGCTGTGAAACTTGAAAGGTTCCTCCCAATATGAGACCTTCACAATTTCCCCATGGGGCTGGAATAAGGAGGGATTTTTCTCTCTGGAGCACCGGGACCGCTTGTGCCGCTCACAATAATAATTGAAATATCCACAGGCAGTGACTTTCGAATTTAGAATCCCGTAGTCGCGGATAACACGATGTTCCGTGATAGGAGAACCAAATGGCCTCGAGCTGACACTGTTTATGGGGAAAGTGTGCTTTCAAAATCAGCTGGACGATGCTCATATGCAAAAACTATGTGCAATAAGGCACTCCACCGCCGAAAATCAAATTATCCATCGGTCGAGGCGAATGATGTTGGTCGCCGAGTGACTTGCCAGTGTGCCGGAGGCGGCGACCGCCCCGTTCGAGCTTTAATATGAGTTCTGCAGCTTCCACGAATCGCGAATGAAAAAACGAGTTTAATGACGTGGACACGTTCTGGGGTAAACATTGCTCCGGACCGCGTCCGAGATCGCAAGATGAACATCGCTCACGTCTCTCGTTTCTTCAAACCGTAATGAGAGCGTGGTGCTCACATCGAATGCGAGTAGGAAAAACTCGGGATTCGGCAGCGCGGGGATCATCCGTGGAGTGGTCAATTGTCTGGCGCGGCACCAGGGGGATTTGTACTCCATCTGAGTGCGAGCAAGCGAGCGACTCTGTAAGTCTGTGAGTGAGCGAATGTGATGCTTATGGATGTTCGTAAATGTTCTGACGTATCTAGTCTTGGCGACACTAAGATCTTCTTCATTGCTATTTGCAAGTCCGAAGTTCTGGCACGATCTCTGCACAAATCCGGGGGAGAAATAGTTTCGGTGAGGGAGAGGGGATCCTCAGACCGTCGTCGAACATTCCAGCGTGGTATTCTTCGCCGGGAAATCTTCCGGGATCCTTCTGGAATGAAGCTTCCGAATGTTCCACGGGGGCTCATGAGCGCTCCGGACAAACCTACTCGGCGCGGAAGGGACAGCACAGGTATATATGCGGATGACGAGCTCATGTTCATCCTCTGTAGATCCCCACCATAGTTCAAGGCCTGGAGAACTTGAATTTCCGAGCACCCCGCGAGATAGCTCAGAGCATTAATACCGAGCTGTTCGCGATCTATCGCTCCGAAAATCTCTTGCTCTTAATCCGTCGTATCATCGATTATTCCGAATTCGCTCCTTCGAGTAGATTTAGGCTCTCGCCTCTCGCATTCGGAGTTTCCTGACGTCACAAAATAGTCGATTTCGGGGATGCTCGAGCACGTCGCTCCCCTTCCCCCTCTCAGGAAGTGAAAACTAGAGACAGAAATTCGGTCAGACCGCTCCCTCCCTCGCAGCTCGATCTATTTTCTACAACAACCGGGAGCACGACCCGATGAGACCTCCACAGTTTGAACCACAGATCCGCGATTCTCTTCGGCGTGGAATCGCGCGGGGAAGGGGTTGCTGGCTGCGAAGGCTCCTAAATCCTCAGTAATCCTCTCGACGGAACGAGAGACGCATCCCTCATCGTCGAATGCATTCTCGGCTATCCGACGGATGGGTTTTGCGACACTCCTCGGGACTGGCGGTCCTTTGATGCCAGGTGAAGGGGACATCATTCGCAATTTAGAGACCGAATCGAAGCGCAATTCCCAAATCGCGAAGGCTCATGTCTGAACCCGCACGAACCCACCAGTCGAATTTTGAACCAGGGCTCCGTCCCTGCTACACTGCGCACAGTCACTCGTTCTGCCTCGTCTGGGTGTCGAGTTTCCGAATCGACTGCACTCCGAATTTGTGAGCTTTGACCAACGATACTTACGGCCATATTGTATACTTACAAACATGCTAGCCATGTTCAACTCCGATCCGCGGCTGGCTCCGCGAAACCGATGCCCTGCGAAGCGTTAATCGAGATTGCATGTTGAACACCAGGACGCAGTTAAACGAGTCCCGATCGGAAAGAGACGCGGTGTTACTGATCTGATTCGAGTAGTGCTACCGCCTGCCTTTCGCTCGTCCGTCGAGTCATGGAGTGAGCTCGGAATGCAGGCGGCACGATGGGCGTCGATAGAGGAGTGGATTCAACACTTCAAAACTTAATACGCTAATTGAGTTGCTCCAGTTGATTCCATGTGACGGTCAAAGGCCTGGGATGCACTTTCGCTCAACATGTATGATCTATGCGCGAGTCCTGATGGGACCCCGTATACATATAGCTGATCTACGCGTGTCTTGCGGTAGATGGCCCCTTGCTCGGCATCCCCATCCCGTCGCTTCGCCCACATCACAATGATACGTACCTAAATGTCCAGCGAGCTCCAATGCTCACAAGATACAATATGAGTCGTATGTTTCAGGTGATAGCAAGGCGACCGCTGAGTGGAGACATGTTCTCAGAGGGTCGTTCGTCATTCGGGAGGCGGGGATCGCGCTGACGTGCTCACATCAATGATGCGATGGTTTTTGAGGGGCAAGGATAGAACGTGTGACCCATAGCGCGATCCGAAACGTACCGTGTCAAGTCAGTTCGGAATTCCAGAGAAGCAATCGGGAGAACAGACCTGGTGAAATTGGCTTCGCGGAGCGACGAGAGAATCGGATCCTCCGACTCACTGACTGACAGATTGCCGGACATATGGATAGACAATCGACAGTTGTCTATCTGAGTGAGACTGTCAAGGAGAACAGACTTCTCTGGAGTTCGGAGAAATCTTCTGCGGCCGGCAACTAGAGCAGATCTACAAGAAACCACTACTACCACCACCAGGCGTCTCCGACCTGCAGACGGATGGACCAGGAGTAGCTTTTAAATGAGCTTCCTTCACCGGCTGCTCTTCGTTTCGCAGAACTCAGACCCTACAACACAACGCCATTTGCTCGAGAGCACTGTGATTGTGAGAGCAGTACCCGAAGAGAACACTATGGGAAATCTCGGAGCGAGCGAGTCGCCATCAGTTCGGAACACATCCGTCACTCCTTGATCCGCTAAAGTGAAGGGAAAAAACGAAAACAAATAGTTCTCGGAGAATTCTTGTGCTGGAATCATCTCGAGACACCCCGGCCCCGAGAATTCGAACTGGTACTAACATCGTTTGAGAAAATTCGAGGTACGTCTCAGGAACCCACGGGATTTCTCAAATTCCGTGGCCAATTTACGAGCTACGTAAGTTTACATGAATTTTTAGTCCCATTGGTATACGCCTTGAGCACTCGAACGAATCCCACAGGAACCACTTAGGAGGAGTTTATCCTGTGTCTAACAATCTAATAGGAGCCGCAGGGAAACACGGAGATGAGGCTATCATTACAGTGGGAGTGCACGATTCGAAAGGCTGCTCGTTCCGTATGTGCTTCGTAGCGTTCAAATTTCATTCGTCAACCGAGACCGCTGCCTACTGAAATATAAGTCGACGAAGCCTGCTCGAACTCCCCCACGAGTGAAATCGAAACCTTACAACAAAATAGCCGCTGCTATGATACCGGCAGAGGTAGGATTTTCTTCCTTGAACAGCTATTCCTGTCCGAAGCAGGGGGCTCTGGGAAATCAGTTTTAAAGTCGATCCGCATTGGATCTGAAGCAAACCTCCGACCACGATATAGTTTTCACTATGGACTATGGATGGGAATGAGAAGCCGCGCAAGCGTTCTCGGTTTCTAGCCGGTCGGAAATCTTGGGAGCTCGGAGACGAACCTCATCGAACTTGGAGTCTGAACTACTCTCGGCCTGAAGCCCAACCCTGAATGGAATTCTCGACAGAACTATCAATATAACTGTATTCTCGCCGAGAAGCGTCAACTTCGAGATTCAAACACAAGTGGCGCCCTCTGTGTCGAATTCCACAACCAAAAGGCTGCTAATCAGCTGATTACTTAAGTTGTTCGGAACGCACTCTTCCGCCCACGTTTTCTCGCTGAATCTCAAGCGAATCTATCCAACGAGAATGCCTGAATGGAGAACAATGAGTCCAGTGAGAGTTCGAGACCTACCGGTGGTGATCAGCTGATGACAGAATCGTAAGTTACCGAAGCGCGCCGAAGAAGCGGCCCGAGAAACACGTACTAACTATCGGCGTTGAAATACTTGAGAAACTTCTGACCTTTGCTTCCGTTGAGGTCAAAGAGGCGAACGAAGAGAACTGTTTCCAATAATCTCTGACCGACATAGGGCGACAACCCGAAATCCCAGCATAGTGCGCGTGGCTCCGGACTGTTGCAGTCCTTCCGAAGCGTTCAGAAATCTCGTGGCGCGATGTTTGAGGGTGAAGCTCCCTACTCCAGCCTGGGAGGTTGGGTATTATTTGAATCCTCTGAACCGAGATCGAAAGGCGAGTCTCTATCTTTACGATCATCGATGGAATGACCGACTCGAAGATTCAGACACTTCTGAGATATCCATTTTCATCTTCAGATCCTGGTGTACAGTCTTGAGGATCCGGGCCGAACGAAGTGTCTCGTGGTGAATGAGGATATGACTTACGTGGAGATCGTCAGTGGATTCAGACGCGACGTATCGAGAATCGAACGAATTCTTTCCAGCTTGCACCTGGAACGACTCTTGCAAGCCTTCCACGAAGCCACGGTCAGTTCAAGCAGGAGTTTCTGATCATTTCAAGAGATCATTCGAAAATTAAAGTCCCGAGTTGGAAACCAAAATCCCCGTCGACTATTCACCGTTAGCGGGTATCGATTCCATTTAAGGTCTGCCCAGGATGGAGACAGAAGTCTCTCGCACAGAAACCGGACGTCGTCCTAAAGGACCAGTTCTACCACGCGATCAATTGTTGGGGCGTTGTGGATGTCACGAAACCGACGTCGAAGCTGTGTCCTGCCTGCACGGAAAGTCAGGTGAGTCGGCCCGGTTGTAACTTGTGACACGAGCGGGATCGAAATTCGCCTCCACCCCTGAGTCAGAGAGGTCGGGAACTTACGGCGGAGAAGCTGAAGACACGAAATTCGGGACTGATTGGCGAGAGATTTTCTTGCGGACAATGCTATCGATATCCTCCTCGCAGCGCGTCCACGCCGAGCCTGAAAAGGTCGAGGTTCCACCTGAAGTTCGAGAGGTGCAGAAGAAAACTGTCCAGAAGTTCCGATGCCGGATGAGAGTTCATTTCTGCCGCAAACGAGCGCAGAAAGAAGAAACGTGCAGCGAAGCTGTCTGTCCTCATCAGATGGTCAACATATCCTTTGAGCACGATAATCGCAGGTGAGAGGAGAGCTGTCGAGCGGAATCGAGGAATCACTCGGTGCGCATATCCCGGAAGCGAGTCTGAGCGTAATCCCATTCTGATCTTGTAACTGGTCTCTTCTGCTCAAGGATGACCGTTCTCCTGGATAAGTTATTCGAGGAGCCTCCGGATGTATTCCAATCCGCAATGATGACCATGACAGGAATGGGCCGACGAACTCAGGTCACCCGTGGCAGTAAGCGAAGACTGGATGACACGGAAGAGCGAGATCCGCTGCAACCCCCACAGGCAAGTCCCGTGGGTTTTCGGAAGCAAATCAGAGCAGGAGATCGAGGCACAAAATGGGCTGAGTCGCCGGAGAGACTCTTCGCCGGATGCATCATAGTATGATTTTTCGCAGGAACCTACGCTGGACAGAGGAAGCGCTGGAGACGTTATCCGATTCCCGCAGTGCATCGACAACACTATGATTCTTCAAATTCAACAGGTGTTGAACGACGGTCGAGTCGAAACGAGACAAGTCTATTTGAATAGTATCGATGAAGGTCAACCAATGTTGGAACAAGAAGACGGAGCTCAGCTCCCGATTCAACTACAAGACCTCATATCCGAGATACAGGATCCCGAATTGCCGACTTATGGTGTCGACGCCATCATCGGTGTACCTGGAGCCGTAGATCTCGGAGAAGGTCTGCCGAGCGAAGAGGCTGGACTGGGACTCGAAGATATGCAACTAGAGATGGATAATGCAAATCTCTGAGGGAGCGACATCGCATGTACAAAAAAATGTAAAGAAAGCAGTGTTCTGAGCGTGACTCCCTCCAGATTTAGAAGAATCCGGGCGAGCGGAGCTCACTCTGAGCACCCTTTGAATTTTTGGATAATAGACGGAACGGGAAACGGAAAGAATAAATGCGTTTTTTCCAGTAAACATCAGCATTTTCAGTACCCTTCGACACTCGAGCGTCTTAGAACTGCGTTAAGTGATTGTTTGTGCTATGACTTGGGTGAGCCTCCTTCGCTTCTGGAGGCGGAAAGCCCGGGAACGGCCTGAGCGCGGCAGGGCCTCGGGGCCCCGTAGCTCGATCGCGGAGCTTCCGGAAAACGACTCTGAGGGAGGGATCGAGTAAACGACGTCGAGCTGATATCAGGCATGATGATATGGCTCATGCCGCTCTCTGTCCAGAGTCGCTCCTTCGGCTAAGATGTCCTAAATGTCCTGGGGAACCTACATAAGAATTCTGCGACCGGAATGCGGGTAGAGTTGATCGCTCGAGAGAAATCGAGCCCGTAGGGTTTAGCGCAATATGGATAGGCGCCATTGTGACACCCTTCCCCACATGTGGAGAGAGTTTGACAAAACCATCAGCTGACGGGAGCTGGACAAAGCTGCAACGCGTTGGCCGACATGAATTGTCGTGAACTCGCCGCTCGATCTCTGCAAGGATGCGGCGCGTCGTGATCTGAGCACTCCAATCAATTCAGTCGGTACTCGGCAACATCGTGAGATGATCCGCGGCATCGATCCCACCGCGCAGACTGTGTTGGGAACTCTGCTAACTTGGGGTCTGACTGCCGCCGGTGCGGCTTGTGTCTTCATTTTAAATTCTAGTCAGGTGCGTAGAATTCCGGTATTAATCGCGGGCAGGTCGCGAAGCCTTTGAGGAGTCCCTCGCTGTTTTGTGCCACGTCGAGTTTCTCAAACTGAGCAGCCATTCTGCAGATTGTCTGCTTGCTCGCTCAGTCAGCCGAGCGTTGCTTGGCACATAGCGCGTACCTAGCGCCAATGCTCGCCCTTGCAGCTGTTGGCTCGCTTCATTGTGTGTATCGCGTAGTCATCGATGATGTGCAAGCTCTCCCAGAACAATGGAAAGGCGACCGAAATTATGGACTCATTACGCTAGATAGCTTGCCCGGATGCTAGCTAAAGGAATTCCTCAGCAAAGCAATAATTCAATCATGAGTTCTGTTCTACGGCCAGATTTCTTGGAGATGGAATCGGGGCGACTGAACGCTACATACGAAAGCTGGATCACTGCTCTGAAAACTCGACGGCTCGCCGGTCTGAATCCAGAATATTAGGAAATTCTCTCATGGCGAACCAAGACGAACTCTCGGTTCCGATCTCGCTCTTCATTTCTCCATTCCACGAATATCGAGATCCTCTATGATATCTCACCCCGTATTCGTGTAATTTTGTCATTATTTAGTCGGCTGAACTTTCGCATCGCAGAGCGATATAACGTATAACGCTCTGCGAGAAGGGAATGTGTCTCCGCATGTTCGATGTCCAGCCGATATATTTTCTGAAATTACTTCTGAATTTTGCAGAGGAAGGTTCTCGATGGGAGTCTCGGCTTCGCGGCTGGGGTAAGCTAAGAAACAACTTCCCGCAAAATATTATCATCACTTATACCATATTCCACATAGTAATCATAGAGAGGGGGAATGAAGGTTTTGGGCAACTCATTTCCCCCGTGTTCAAGAAGCTTTCTAGTTGAGGGCGAACGACGGGCGATTGCAAATGAGCATGTCCGCAATCTTCGGCGGACTGCACCTCTTACATCGCTACACCGATGAAGCGGAGGGAAGCTCTCAGAATCTTGTTCGCGGAATTCTTCTCAAAACCTAGCTCGTCCAGTAGGCAGAATGGTAGTGCAAGCATATGCATTCTGATATCAATGATATAGACAAATGATCTTCGTACGCGAAGCTCGAGTATTTGTATCAAGCGAGTGTCGCCGCGAATGCGGAAAGTCTTTCGTGGGTATTTTTGAATGGAGTCCCGTCAGCAAAGGATGGGAGGACCTCTCCAAGGAGATTTTTCTTCTGGGCTCCTCACATTGATATTTCGAGACATGAATGCCTGGACTCCAAACATGCAGGAGTGATCTCCCAGTCAGAGCCTATGCGGGTACATTCCTCCGCGGAGCCCGCGTCCTGGATACTACTCCGCCGCGTATACCCGCTGGTGATCTCATTAGGCCGGGCTCCTCCTTTCGTTTCAGGTCATGCTGGCTGCATCTTATTGGTCTCTCTTGAAACCCAGTCTGGAAATCGCCACGGGATCCCATGGCGAGCAATGGTGTTTCATCCCAACATCTATAGGCATTGTGGCGGGCGCTTTCTTTGTATATATCGTCGATGTAGTGATACCGGAAAATGTTAGTCAATGCGTGGAGTTGATCAAGACGTATTTCCTTTTCCATAACCGTCATCCACTGGCATCCGGAAACGCTTCGAATGATTGCTCGGAATGTTTCAGAACACTGTTAGAATCTTGATGGAGACTAATCCGAAGAAGGACGATGATCATACCCGAAGGATGCAGGATGCATCTCTTCAGTGGAAGAGGATGCTCATGTTGATCATCGCCATCACCATGCACAATATTCCCGAGGGAATGGCGGTCGGCGTGGGTTTCGGAGCCGCGAACTCGACTGACGTGAGCTCCAGAAAGATGTTCTGATCGATTGCGAGATAAGAACTCTAACCTAGAGGTTTCGAGAGCCCTCCGATGCGCTCGTCCCCTATTAATTTCATGCTGCGCGAGCATTGATTCTGTGAAGTTCATTACAGGCAGCAACTTTCGCCTCGGCCAGGAACCTCGCTATAGGTATCGGCATGCAGAACTTTCCGGAAGGACTCGCCGTCAGTTTACCGCTCCGTGCCGCCGGCTTCTCGAAAAAGATGTCTTTCTGGTAATTACACAGACCACACTCGCTGAAGTGCCACTCGCCCCTTATTGATTGAGTGCATTCACTCGAATGTTCCCTATCAGAGAATCCCTTGAGATGCTACTGTGCTTCCGGGAAGCCCATGAACGAAAAATCGTAAAGAGCGACCTCCCGGGTCACCTAATCCGGTTCGGCTGGGCTCATTTCTCTCGGTCCGATACAGCGTCGATTCCAATCGCTCCTAATATGAGGATGCTCTTTCCATCCGTGATTGGACCGACGACGAGCAAGCATGGGAGAGATGTTCGATCAAATCGAGAAATTCCTCTTGAAGGTACGGGCAGCTGAGTGGAGCCGTGGAGCCTATTTTCGGAGTTATTGGATGCCTGCTGGTGACCTATGCCCAAGTAATCCTCTCATATGCATTGGCTTTCGCCGCTGGAGCTATGATCTACGTCGTGGTGGATGATATCATCCCCGAAAGTCAACAATGGTGAGCATGGACCTCCTCCCGAATGCCGACTGACGAATCGCTCGCTCGCAGGAGCGCGTAACATTCATCGTGGGCGACCTTCTTCGCGATAATCTGATTTCGAAAATTCTCGGAATAAGTATGGCTTATGCGGCAAAGTCACAATGGGAGGAAGCAGAGCGATGAGAGGGGGTCTCCAGCAAAAGAGCTCACCCGAAAAATTCTAATTCTCGTTTCGCTTGCAGTGGTAATGGAAGAATCGCATCCTGGTCGACCATCGTCGGTTTCATCGTCATGATGACTCTGGATGTAACGCTCGGCTGATCTCTGAGGGCCGGTGGTTCTTTTCGTATCCGATTGCTATTGCGAATCCCTATTCGCGCGGAGAAAAAATCTCCTTCGGAAAACTTGACAGTCTCGTCGGCTTGGAACATCAGCGGCGTGGTTCCGCAACACTCCCGTCTCATTGGTTGCCTTTGTACTAAGAGAATAAGGGACTCAAGTCAAGGGGCTGAGACAATCTGGATATCGAACAGCTGAGAAGCAGGGTTCCCATTCAGATGGAGAATCAAGGGGGCCCGTGGGGGCGAGCAGCTAGAAGACAACCAACAGATGACTCGACGCTCAGTCGCAAGATTATAAGAAACTCGATACGATGCTAGTCACCGGGAAACTGGTTGTGGTATTTTTGGATACACGAGAAATATCCTCGCACCTACAGATCCTTAAGCCCTTGTTTTGTGCTAAGCCTGAACTCCAGATTCCATGGGGTTCATCAGCGTAAATCAAGTACAGGTTACGTCGCGTTCCCATCACGTCATTAAATTACATTCTGTTGTTATATCATGTTCGGTGATCATCCCTTCCCTTGTCCCCGAATAAAAAGACGTGGAGAAACAGGATCCAGGTCGTCATTTTCAACTACAGGAATCGAAAGACACACAGCGTTTCTTTCCACCTCGGGGAATCGAAAATCTATCCACTTGATTCATCGAGGTGGTATTCCACCAGCGGGTTTTCAGCGTTCCGTCTCGCAGTACACTTGGTCATTTCCCACGCGCCCCCGCTCGCTGCTGTCCTTCAGTACATGAATAACACTCGATAACATCACCCCCAACTTTCTGAAACTTGATCATATCCCAGATCTAAGGACCCTACACGAGCGAGCATCGGGAAGAGACTTTCAAGGGCAGAAGAACATTCGTAGGGCATTCCCCATGATGGGCGCCTCGATTGTGGTGTCTGAAGCGGCCCGCATACACCCGACCGAGTATACAATTCTGTTTCCCTCCCGTGGAATTATCCGAATGAGAGGGGCCGAGCGTTCGTGTGAGCTATGCCGAACGTTTGGGCGCTCCACGAGGGCCGATCGCTCTCTTCGCTAATCGAAGGGCGATTGCTAGGCTGTAGATTTGCTCTCAGGAGTCTTTCGTCGAGCCTCTCCAGGTTTACCCACCGATTCTTGCATGAGAAGCAGGGATAAAATGAGAGAAAGTAGCCAAGCCGCACTTACAATAATCCAGCATCACGGGATTCACTGATTCCTTCGGGGAGTTTTGGAGAGTCGAATCCTCGGATAAGCCAGCGCCATGAACCGCGAGAGGATCACCGACGTCGCATCGATCCTGCGTTTTTTTGAGCTAATTGGGCTGAGGCTACGAAAGATTCGCGAAATCTTTGGCGCGAGAAGAATATCGTCTAAGGCTGGTATTTCTCATTTAGAATTCCTCGCGAGACGCTCAGGCTGACCGCCGAGTTCCCACGGGGGATCTAGAGGGGCCGCCATGGGGACTGGATCGTATTGAATGCTCTAGATCGGAATGCCTGATGGCTCTTGCTCGTCAAATTCTCACTCTTTAAATATTAGGAACGGTTGGAAGACGATCATTCCCATCGGATTGATGATTGCTTCTCGCGAGGTCGGAAGATTCCTGAAGATCCACGGGGTACACAAGCTCCCTCTCCTCCTCGTTTGAGGAGCATCAATTGGTCAGAATATGCCCAAGCATTTCCTCCTTAATAGTCCGAAAAATCGTGAGGAGGTCACCCCGGTAGTTAACTCTCAGCGAGAAAACCAGGAAGCGACCAGGGAATGCGGAGAGATTCGGGTGATCCAGAACGCATTTGAGACCACGAATCGAGATGTCTTCAGCAGAATGAGGGCCTTTGACCTCTTCGGATAAGATTTGTACTTCGGAATTTCTCTAGGGATTCTGCCATCCATGAAAAACTTGGCATAAAACACACCTGTACACCCCGTCGACGGGATACCCAACCTACTTATGCCTCCCTCCTAGGAATGGTACTGAACTCGTCAAATCCTACGCCAAACGCTATCTTCTTCGACTCAGAGAGCCTCAGTTTTTTTGTAAAGTGGGAACTATCTACAGGAGTTGCGCACTCCACACTGTGAGATCACGCTGAATCGCATTTGAGGGGTTTATCTCGGACTTAGGCTCGAACGCCTTTAATCCAATGTTTCTCCCAATCGGAGCAGCACCCATGCGGATAAGGGAATAGATCCGTTCCCAGGTATAAAAGGGCTACCGCGCTGTCTCCTCAGCATCCAGAGTTGACCCTTGAGAACCGTTCAAGATGAAACTGTTCTCGGCCACCCTCATTCTCGCCCTTGTGGCCTACAGCTGTGAGTACACTCGAACTCCATTTCCTGCGTTCGGAAATCTATCGTCTACGGTATACGATCGTACACATCGAAGATCATTATCGATGCGCTCTAATCATTGCGAATTTTTGCTTCCAGCTGCTGTTCCCGTGGAGTGAGTGTCTTGAATAGTCCATCGGAATCGCCACTCGGACAGTCGGTAAATGTCTATGGTGTTCAGAGTTCGCCCTTTAAATTTTTTCTTCGGATTGTAGGCACGACGAGGACGTGTCGTCCGAGTTGACCGTCGACGAGTTGGTTGACGCCGTCCAGAGCATCGAGTCCCTGGAGAACATCGCCACGGAGGATCAGTCGTACTTCCTGAAGAAAATCAAGCGGGCCATCAAGAGGGTAACATACGATCAGGGCAGCGAAAGTACTCGATTCATGGGGCCTCATCCGGGAAGTGTTTTCCGCTATCATCAATCCTTCATATCTCATTTTCGTAGGGAGTGAGAGTCGACGTGGGAGTCAGAATCCGACCCGCTGTCGCCGAGGCTAAGAATGCTTTGACTCTTGAAGAGTTCCAAGAACTTATCGACTCCTTCCATGGCCTCGAACAGACGCTCCCTTCAGATTCTGACTACGGATTCGGGAAGAAGCTCAGAAAGGTAAAAGTTGGGTCCTATGTAGCTTTCAATCATCACCTCCTTGAGGTTCAAGCATCGCATCCCTTTCTGGAAAAGAGGAGGTCTCACCCGCTCCAGTTATCGAATTACGCGTTCAGCGGCGGAAAGATCAAGGTGATCTAGGAGCCTTATCGAATAAGTTAACCGGATATTCCCAATTTCCAGGGACTGAAGAAGATCGGGAGAGCCATCGAGAAGGGCGCCAAGAAGATCCTTGAAAGGGGAGTACGCGTCACCATTCCCTTCTAAACTGGATCCGAACGACGGATCAATAATCAATGGACGTGATAGAATAAATTCGACCCTACCTATCCCTGTCATCCGACCGGATGCTTCATTATTCAATCCGAAAACATAAATGTCTGGCACCCCTTCCCTGGATAGATCAGCACAGTATGTACCTATTCCAAGATGAAAACTTCATTCCTTCGGGTGGTCGGGAGGTTCAAGAGCGATATTCTAGGCTCTGGTACCGCCGCCTTCCCATTATTGGCGAGTTCCTGCTCTCGATTACTCAGCAGATTCATGCATCACTTCTAGTGGGTTCACGAAGCCAATGTCCAAGTCTGAACTTCGGATTATCTCCCTTGCGGAGGTTGGACACCCTCGAAGACACCACACCGGCTCTTCCTAGAGTTTCCAGGCACTTATCCCAGTTCCTCAAAAATAGGAGTTCCTCCAACAGAGTCCGACAGTCGAGCGCAGGAGCAATGGAAATCACCGATGGGTAATAATACGAGTTAGGACATAGAACATGGAACTAAATTCAAAAGACACGGGACAAGCATGATAGAGATACATGCGCTAAGATGAGTATGTGATATTTCGGAAAAAAGGGTTGAGAGATGCGGGAGATCGTCAAATTCAGGGCTCAGTCATCTTTATTTTTCTCAAAGTATTCCCATCGTCATGCACACCAATATTCGATTCCTTTAAATGCAGACCTGTAATCTGTTTTGTGTACAACGGTATATTTAAATGAGTTCTCTCTATCATTTTGACGCACCGATTCGGAAAATATATGAAAATATAAGTCATCTTGTAAAACCTCCTGCGCCTCAATAACTCCATTGGCAGTTTACTCTCGGTCCCGACGTCAAATCTGGCTCCTGTCAAATATTGTGAATAGCGTACACACAGAAATAACTTAACTAGCTCTGCTAGGAACGCTCTTCCTGGATACAAACAGAGCAAACACAGCACCGCTGTCCGCTAACTAAGAGAGTCCGAAATCGACGATTCGAACACTCTCAGAGCGGAGACCCTTCAGGCACGGAGGGCTCGTCCTTTCATATATACGTGAAATTCTCTCGGCAACGAATGCATGACTCTGAGAGAGAAACAAAAGGGTCACGCGTCACGCCTCATTGGACGATGAAGTTTTTGTAGGACCACATCGATTTGAATTGCTTCTTAATTCCTCGCATGAAATCAGAGGGTTGCACAACCAACGAGATGTCTTTTCCTACGGCACGCAATCGAGGCTCTATCTCGGATTTCTTGAAGAATAAATTAATGGGACGGTGATTCACTTCGGTAATCCACCACGATGTGAGAGCCATGCCGCCATCCAGAGCAGTCGAAACCTGAAACAATTATAGTTCTGGTCAGTGATTGTCCCCGCGGGGATTTCTTAGCTTCGGAAACGGTACTCGGCGTATTGAAAATCTCCGCCGTCTTACCATCAATGGCAGGCCGCTCCGGTGAGCAAGTCCTCCTTCAATAACTTTGAGGATTTCGTTCGTGCCATCCCCCATGACGAGACCCAAATTTTCACCTTCGAAGCTCCGTTTAATGGCCAACGCTTTCCCAAACGGTATCCGATGTATTGTGAGTTCCACCGTTTGATTGTAGATAAGGTCTTTGATGGTTTTCTGTGCATCCGACGCACAGAAAACCTTCCGACCGCAGATGTTGAGCAATCGATCCCCAACATGGAGATGTGACTTCATTGACGGCTTATTCCAGCCAGCTATGTACACCGCCCCGCACAGATCCACCAGGGCCAAACTCCCTTGAAGGTCCCGCTTTGCGAATCTGACCACAACCCCGGCCTGATGGGTCATCTCCTCCTGTAATTTGAGTATCTGGGACTCCCGAATCGGCAACTGGCCTGTGCTGGTTCCACTGATCTCGACGTAAACACTTTCGGTTATCTGTGGCGCGAGGACGTGTGTTTCCGACGAGGTGCCTTCGAACGACGCAGGTGTCGGAACGACCATGCTGTTTCGGAGTTGAATTTTGTCGTGGCTGGTCCCCTCGTGTGCGGCTTCTTTTCTCAGCATTGCTCTCATAGGTTTGGGACTTAAGGTTGGTCTTGGCTCCGCAGCCGAACTTCTGCTTCGCACAGGGACGTCGGGTGCTCGGAAACCGCTTCCGCCAGACGACGGTCGTTGGCTACTATCACAGTTATGACCGTTGGTGGCGAACACTTGGGAGTACTCGGTGTTGCGTTCGATTAGTCTCTCGGATGGAGACGGACCCGTGCCGTTGGTCCCCGCCCCGACCTGACCCGCACAACTCCGAAGAGGATTTACGGCTTCTTCACGATTTGGCTCTGAATGAGTTTGTTCCCCGAGTCCACCCGTGTACGAATGGCGTTTGTTTCCGACGTCGGCTTCCACAGTCGCTCTCCGCTGTCGGGATGCGTAACGTGCGGATTCCGTCCGACTCAGCGGTCGGTCGACCACGGGGAAAATGGGTTCGTAGATCGGGCTGGACTCGGGAGGTTCCGGCAGAGGTGAGGTAGGATCTCTGGGTCCACTCGCACCGTGGGCAGCACTCGTGCTCGGTCCTGAGTCGTGGCTCGATGAGGACGAAAGGTTGCTCTCGATCGACTCTTGACGGAAGAACGTCGCACTACTTTCGACCATGTTGAGAAGACTCCTCTGAAAGCGAACGGGATTGCGAATGACGCTCTTAGGGGAGACGCGGTCAAACAAATGCGACTAGCCAGACGTGACTCAGCGGATATTCGCTCCGCTCGACAGTACGATTCTCTCGCATCCGCTCTCTCAGTCCAGCCTCAAGAACCACCGCTTTGTTTACACACCGAGAAACGTGAATTCCACAATCACAATTACCCTCATGTCGGTTAATGCCGGACCGTTCGGAGCAGGTTCCTCGATTGGCGTCGGAGGCAGCGGCATGTTCTGCCGCGGATGTGGAGGCTTTGAGGGCTCGGCGCTGTATTCGTTCTCTTTCGGTCGAAAAACGCCGCGGTTCCTTAGTGTCTCCGTCAGAGTGTGAACCCAATCCAAGGTCAGCTGTTGGCTCTCTGTCGCCAGCCTGTTGATGATAGTAAGAAAATACGCCATGAGGAAATAAGGCAACGACGGCACGACCGAAACAATGCGCTACCCACGTCGAGTCTGATTTGTCATACTCGTCTGGGACGCTTCATTTGGATCGGGTCGATCCGATTAGAGAGGGATCAACGGAAGAGGAAACGTCGGTATCCTAGGAATATACCGTCGGCGTCGGCTCGCTCAACCCGCATCCGAATGACAGCAGAACGTAACCTGCGCTCTCGTTTCGGAAAACTTCTCCTACTCACAATGGAGCGATGATTCTCTCTCGTCGATAAAACATTCGAGACTTGGGCAATGCCACTCAAATAGTGCGGGTTGAGAGCCGGCGATTCGATCTGCTCACCTGAGAACTTTGTTCTTAAGGGTGACGGCGAATTCGAAATATTCCTCCTCAGGACTGACGAGCCGGGGTGATATGTGGAGACAGTCGTTGAGCGAGAACCTGTTCGGAAGAATGCTTCTGAGCTTAGCTAATGCTCTCGGTGACATTGACGGAGTCCGCAATTGTTATCTCATGCCTCGGGGAGCCCGAGTATCCGGATATAGAGTTCTCGAGCTCCTCAGGAACAAATATGTTACGCCGATTTTTCGAAACAGCAGGCGAGGAATGGTGGCTCACGGAGAATCGCCCGCCGCTCTCGAGGAAACGGGCCACTGCCGACGCATACTGTCCATGATTCCTCTCGATACCCTCCTATCTCGAGATATCTGCCCCAGCCCCCATATCTCTTCGTGAGACGAGAGAGTGATGCCGCGATGATGCACAACATGATTCACGAGCCCGAGCTCGAGCTAGACTTCAATGAACGAACCTTGCCACGGGCTTGTGATCCGCCGAGCAATGTCGGTTGTCGTAGAACTCCAGCCACGGTCCATCTTCGTCGTGTATGCAAAACGAAACGAAGAGATTCTCCAGATGCGATTTCGGCAATTGATCCGATGTTTGCAGGTAAGGGATGCATCGGAGCCACCCGTTGCGGTGGATCTCACGAGACATCGCTGCAAGCAGAAAGATATAATTAGAGCGGCGTTCGGCTAAATACGTCCGTTTGTATATCCATGGAGGTGTTGATGAATGTGTACAATAACTCAGAACGGGATGACACCACTAATTCCACGAAGAGCAGCGTTAGGTTCCGATTGATTCCCCTCGCGTCGTTCCCCATTCGAATTCTCGTCCGGGCAGGAAGCCGGCGATTTTTTTTCTCGACTCTACCGCCGGTCGCCCATGTTCTCCGCTCATCTCCACCGTCCGAGCGGTTTTGAGGGCCGGTGGGACTTTTTCCGTCTTAAAATAATGATCAACTTCCCAGGAGTCTGCGCAGATGATCCCGCGTCTATCTCGCAGTCGCTCTTCCTTAACTTTGAGACTTTTGATCGACTCTAGCTCTCCCTGATATTCGATATCTGTTTGAAATCGATTTCAGCGACGGAGGGACCGATATCCAACCTCGTCTGCCGACATGACTCAAGCGGTAGGTATCTCTTTCAGCAACTTAAACTGTGAAGGATGAAAATGCTCCATGTGGACACGGGATCAGGGAGAAACATCCGTGAGCCGACGACGAGGTGTCTCGCGGAGGAGCACGCTCCTGATAAGCTCGGCGGCAAAGATTTGCTTCCTGGTTCTAATCAGTGTCTTCGCCTTGTCAAGGAACCATGGAAGCGGTTCCAATTGATCGCGAATAACGAAAGGGATCGGATGAGATCTCCTATCCCCGTATCCGTGCTCTCACTCGTCAGTTGTGTCAACCGATCGGTACTCGAACTCGCGCTCACTGTCGCCCGGCACTCGTTCCAGCTGATGGCGGAAACCGTATTCCTGAAGCGCTATTCGAAATGTCACTTGAAGAATGGAAACGCTCCCACCTACGTCCGGATCCGACACTCTGGCCCGGAACGATGTCGATCGATGCGAACCACAAGCGATCGGTCGAGCGTCATGCGGATCTCAGAACTCACATCGTATCGTGAAACAACTCGATGATGTGCGGAGTACTACTCGACTTTGCGTAGCTCGTTTTCGCTTTCTGCCCGCTGGGTGAAAACATGTTCAACTACGAAAGCTGAACACACCGGAGCGAACAGTCACTGGCGAACAGACACCGGGAATGAGACACAAAATTCGCAGCACGCATCACAACGTCAAGTTGTGAGAGAATGATTCACTGCTGTCGCGAGATATAACACTTATGGTCGGAAACTGCCCGATGACGGTTTCTCCAGTGTTGTGGCTGTCGCCGATGGTGGTTGTGATAGTGTGGTCTCTTACCGACGTCGGTGACTCACGTAGGGAGACCCCTGAAACATTCGTCGATGTGCCTGCTGCTTGCCTCCGCAGTGGACAGAGCTGGGCGGCCTCGCGGAAGATCAGGATGTTGGCATTCAACTGCCTTGCTTGCCTGCGCTCAACGCATGTCCAGGGCGTCTATGGAGTTCCGGTTAAGAGAGACCGATCTTCCGAACGAACGAGCCTCCCGTCCATCGGTGGTGCTTCTGGCGATGCGGCTGCTGCTGCTGCCCGTCCGCCTGATGTGTTTTGATTCTCGCTGCTTCAGAACCCGTGTGACGTCACAGCCAAACGTTGCTGGCTGATCCAAGCGCCCTCTTCTGACGTCGGATAGAAGTTCAGTGTTTCGAGCAATGGATTCAGAAGCTTTCGTTTTCTCGCTTTCACCGCTTCCAAGATGGTCCGAGTGTCCTGAGCGCGAATGCCTCGGATTCACGTTTTCCGTTGAACGTGGAAGGGCCAGATGGAGCTTCAAGATTGGATGGCAAGGAACAAACTTCCGTTTCATTTGTTCGAGTCGTAGAAACGGTGAAAAGGAGCAGTCGGCTCCTCAATCCTTCGGAAACAGATCAAAGTCCCTCTAGTAACGGACATCGCAAGGATAGAATTTCGCAACACGAACACTCGAGATAAATTCTGAGAAAGCTTTATTCGGTATCTCGGAATGATGACGCCTCTCCCGACATTTATGTCATTACGCAGTTTTTTATCGTGCAGGGAAGAGCCGCCAACAGGTCGTCTTCTCTCGGCATTGCAGGCAACCATGACTAGCGCATACTGCATTCGTTCCGCTCTCTCCACGTCCCTCAGTCAGATCGTCGATTACTTCAAGACCAAATGTCAGATGAGCAATCGCCGCCAGGATATCGAATCTCATGGGCGAGTACCGGTCCCTCCGGCTCGTCCCCGAAATCCACCAGGAAATCCTCGTCAACTGTCAGCCCGCCCTTCTCGGAGTCTACGTTCAGTCGGACCAGCATGGATCCATTCTCGAACATGTCCGGATAGAATTGCTTATCCCACGCCGAAAAAAGCGATGTCGTGAGGTAGAGCCTTTTGCCGTCTAGTGAAAGCTGCAGCATTTGCGGACCTCCCCTGATGCGTCGCCCTCGGAATCGAGGCAATTCAAGCTGGCTCTGGAAGTAGAGAAGAATATAAGGTCTACGATCCAAGACTGAATCCAGGATCTAAATCTTCGAGGAGACGAAAAAGTCTCCGAGACGGAAAACTTACACCATCATCCTTCGTGACTTCGTCCCGAATGCTACCGCCGACATAGCACTGAAATCGGAAGAGCTCATGAGTTCTTGGACCGACCTTCTGTGTCACAGAATTCTGAGCCCGAGAAACGGAGATCCGCAGCGCGTTTCGTCCAGCATCACCCGAAAAATCGATTTCGATACTCACGAGTCCGACAAGTTTGGGGTTCGCCGTGTCTTCTATGTTGTATTGTCGTACTTCACCGGTGAGCCAACACGATAGATAGAGAAATCTGGAGGACAAGAATTCGGCGTTAGTCGACTCTAATTTACCGGAACTGAATGGATCCCTCGGATGACGTCGGAAGCAGACGAACCGGTCGTCGAGCGAGAGTAGGATATCGGTGATCACTGCAGGCATTTCAGGGAGCATCCAATTCTTCACCCGTGTGTTGGGAATCGAGATGACCTTCTGCGCTTCCCACAGTCCATCTTCTCCCAGGTTGAAACGGAAAATCGCGCTAGAGATCGCGCACCCCACGAAACCTTCGGAAGGATAATTTCTCGTTAGGAACGAGAAGACAAGCGATGTAGAGGCTCAGAAAGATCAGCTACGCTGTTTTTCGGAGGGATGGATTCGAACTCGCGTGATGCCCAGTTCGGACAATCGAATTTCCGTCACAGGGGTATCCGGAAAGTTGTCTACCGACTAGGTCGATGAATCTATGACAAAAAAAGCAACGGACACTCGAAATCTGAGAGCGTCCGACTCCTGTGGGCTTGGGGGCGCTTGATCACCTTCGGTCTTGTCTGGATCGTGGAGGAATCTAGTCTCGAGTGGCATGAAGCCCTCTCGGCCAAGATCGATTGATTGCAGATACTGTCCTGTGGACCACTTCCAGAAGTGGATTTGATGCCCGTATTTTCCTTCGCCGAGGTGCGCAGGGTCGAAGCCATTCTCGAAGACACTGGAATGAGGTAATTGATCGTCAAACTTCCCGACGTCCTGTTCCTTCGGCCGAGAAGTCTTCACTTTTATCGCCACAGATTACGGAGTGAAACTAATGCCACAGAGACGAATTCGGGAAAGAATTGCACTCACCGTGGCGAGCCCCATTCTGAGCTAACCATGACATCGTGGCGCGGCTGGTACCAGTAGTCGTAACTACGAAAGCATCCATCAGCACTTAATTGAATTTTCAATGTCCTCGCAGCCGTGTTTTCGTATTTGCGTCTGACCTTACCCGAAATCGGTCCTCTTGCTTCCGTAAAGTCCAGCCGTCTCGGCGCCACGACCGGGCTCAGTTATCGGCTTGAAGGTTTTCCCGTTCAGAAGAATGAAGCTTCCTATCGAATGGAAGTTTTGATCCATATGAATCGAGAACTACAAATTGCATGGCTTCCCCGGACTTCTTCAACGACCGCGAAGTATATCTGACTGAGGCCGAACCCAGCGGGTCAGCATCTTCTCGAGGGAATAGTCTCCTTAATAAATCGCACAAGACGTCCAGCCCGATGAAGCCGAAGGCCTCGGCGAGGATCCGGGTTGAGGTTTTTTCAGGTTGAGCCCAAAGGTTATTAGAGCTGAATGATTATATTCTAGGGAGGCTTGTAGAACGTGGTACCTTGATTGTTCCGCTCTTTGTCCCCCATAGTGCTGATCATCACATTTCCTCCGGGTAAACAGTGCGGCGTGTGACAAGATGACGCGTTGAGAGCGTGAATCTCTTCCGGTTCCACCACTGCAAATAGGGATGGTTCCCGCGGATTCTGAAGAGAATTGATCCAGACTTGCCCGCTGTTTCCTTCTTGTGTACCGTCCTCGCTCAAGTGTCTGGGGAGGCATGCCTATATCAACTAGTTTTTGAAGTGTTTACCTCGCCCACATGGAACGTGTAGATCCGATCCGACAATAGGCAAGGGAGGACAAGTTTATCTCTGCGCGCATCTGGGTCGTGGTAACAGGACGAGCAAGCGTTCCAATTCATGTGGTGTAATTCGTCGCCTAGATGAGGTACAGGAGTCCGATGGATGACCTCGAATGGAAGAAGTGAACAACAGTCGAGATATTAGTCATTCCCTTCAGATTTTAGGCCCGTAATAATGGTCGCTCTCGCTAGGCTAGTCACCCTTAGGTTCGGACTTGCTTCCGGAGACCTTGCGGCTGTTCCGAATAAGTTTCGGTCGATTCGAGTCCGGATCTTGGAGCTCGGAACTCAGCGTATCGCGAGACTACCCGCATTGGGAACTCTTGGGTTTACCTTCAGGTAGTCCTGCGAGGAAGGGTCGATATCGATTACGGCCAAGTAGTCAGGTCGCTTTTTCGTAGGCACGATACACGGCACGTATAAGAGTTTCTCACGCGGTCCTTTTTGTGCCTCCCTCGGCGAGGGATATCCCGGACCCCCACCGCAGCAGCCTGCGGGTAGAAAAAGCTCGGTGAGCCAGAGCCGATGGAACGAGTGACGAGATCATGGCTTATGCCTCAGAGAGCGACAGATCGGATGCGTCAGTAGAAATATCCGCTCACGGGAACATTCGAAGTGAATTGTCAGACGGATGCAGCGTCCCGACGGGACATCGGTGCACGTATCAGAAAATTTCGAACACTCGGATACACAGGCGAGGAAATTTTCCGCGACGGATTCTACCTTTCTGAGATCCTGAGCAGCTCATCACTGAATTTTCCTCGAAATCGTTCGGGACTCAATCAAACACGCTCGTAGTCGGAAGTAGACTGAATCCGACGCCGCTATCGGCGCGGCGTCGACACTACTCTTCGCGAACGAGCGGATGGAAAGGTAAGGGGCGCATGCGCTCAATCGACGAACTGATTAAGCTGATGTCTGTTTGACCACAGACGATAGAAAATGTACCTAGAGGCAACAAACTCTTATCTAAAGACCCTGTCAAAACAGTATCGACCTAGTTTAGAGGCGACAAGAAATCGGAATCGATCACTCAGCCTCTGGGAGATCGATCTCCGTCTCCAAGCGTAACCCATCTCGAATCTCGAACCTCCAGCCCCACAGCTCTGAAGCGTCGACCCTTCCTAGCGGCCGATGCGATCGATGATCGTTCGAAATATTCAGTCCCTCCGACTTTGTGTGTATCTACAGACTGACTTCAACTTCACTACCATGGTCGATAGGTACACTTCGAGGCTCTTTAAGTGACTTTCAGGATTAAACAACTATCCAACGTGCTTCCGCAAGCTTGAAACTCCGCAACCAGAGAGACCTGGGACGAATCGACTATCGATTTCTCGAGAAGTCCCGACAATTCTTATGAAAAGAGCGTGCATATTTTATTCGTCAGCATCTGCTTCTTCGCCAGTAGTGAAGTCAGTCGAGGCTGGAGATGCAGATTCACCCCTTGGATACAAACCATTTCGATTTCGGTTTCAGGCAGTGGCGGAAAAAGTCCTCTATTTGTTTTCCATTGCCGAGAGAATTCCCGAATTCGGAGCGGAGCAAATTACCATTCAAAGTGAAATGTTTCGTCGCGTTCATGTATGCTGCTGCTGCCTACATCACAGTGAGTACGATGGGAGAATGAATTCCAGCTCGGGAAGTTCCACTTGAGCCTCGACTGCTTCCGCGTGAATCGACTCCTCCGATGAGCCGTCTCTTTCGCCGTTTCAAAAAGTCTGCACCTTTCCAGGTTTGTCAGATGTTCCTGAGCCTCACGAAAGTAGCTTCGAGAAGAAGTCTCCGGGCGCTCATTGTGAGCACCAAGGCCGTATTCGGAGCCCTTTCCGTACACGTTGTCTGTCTGGTCTACCGCGACGTCTGCAAGTGGGTTGAGCGTCATTTGCGTTTGAGTTCGGGAAATTCCACACAACAACCCCCCATTGACAAGTTGAGCGTTGAGGAAAATCTCTATGATGAATTTTTTCAAGACGCTTGGATGAGGACTCAACGATCCTGAGTGCGTCTACGGTGAACCCCGACTGGACCGGGAAGGGTGATCTCTCACCGCGCCCGAAACGCGAGGGAAGAGCGCTCCGCATCGTAACTGTCATTGCTATGATGCTTTACGCTATTGGACTGGCCTCTTCGATCGTTTCGGCTCAGGTTATGCTCAATTGAGGATTTGGATAGGTGACAAATCGCAGAAGACCGAGAATTCGAATCTTGCGGCAAGGCATCGACCGAGCGAGCGACTGACTGAATTATATGCGGATCACAGGTACTCAACGAGGTGGTCGGCCTGGGCTTTGGGGCGCCTATTTGGTGGGATTCGATTTATGGAGGATTCCGAGATATCGGCTTCCTGTCAGACTCCATCATTTGCAATTGTGTTCTGCTGATGCCTCCAATTGCGATCAATTGGTACATCACAATCTGTTCCTGGACACATGGACGGGTTTGTTCGGAGATTGAATTTTTCGCAGGATATTTTCTCGATGACACAAGCGCCCCGCATCAGTCGTTTGTTATGACGTAGGACACATTACTCTCAGGTGCTGTCCTTCCGCGAGAGGATTCACGCGTTGCTAGAGAGCCCCGAGCGGTCAGTGAGTGCGCTCGAAATCAAGTCACTGCAGACTTTGTACAATCACCTATGGTCGACCGTCTCCTTGTTGGACGCCAAGCTGGGCAAGGCGGTCTTCATGTGGTAAATATCTCACAATGCTCCGAGAGCTCTCCACAACAGAGGCAGCGGAGCAGTCGTCAGTGTTTGAGGCTTCTGAAAGGCTCGTTCGAATTACAGGCACGCCGATCTCATCCTGACCGTGATACTGAGCGTCCGGGGCATTCAGAAGTCTTCCTCAGTACCAACTATGCTCGAGTGTGCATCTCATTTCGCATACTCGGCGGTACTTTTCTTCATCGTAAGTTACACAAATATCCACCTCGACGATCTTCTGAGCCCTCGATGGAGGAGTTCTCTCCGGAGAGACTTCTGTATTCCTCCACGACCATCTCCGGTCTCTCCTCAGGAGATCAGATGGCTTCTGGCGGGGCGCTTGGACATCTGAGTTCGGGGCGCCGTTGACGAGGGAGCTGATCGCAAGGGATGCTACTTCGCAACCCTCCTTCGTCGCCGGAGACGGTTTCCGAAGCAGCGACCCTCGCCCCAGCCCGACCGACCGTTAATGCAGTCCACGCGATTCCGCATGTGATCCTCCGACAACTCTGACCGCTCGAAGGTCGGCTGCCTATCGATCAATGTCCAGATCCAACGGATCTTTCCCATTCCTTCCAGATATCTCTCGTCGCGGCGAATACAGTCGTTGAGTCGAGCAATATCGACTACGATCTCTGCCGGTTGGTGTGCCACATCAACTTCAGTGACTGGAGAGCTAGCAATCAGATCATGCTCCTGCAGGTGACAATTTTACTCGGAAGTGCCGTCGAATTATTCATTTGCATCAGTTAGTGGATGTACAAACTCCCTCCGCGATCCAAAGAGCTGACCGCAGATTTCCTTGCTTTCAGGAAGAGATCCAGCAATGCCCTCTTGCGTTCACGGGCTGCAACTGCTTCACGATTGATCGCGGGTACATCTTGACCGTAGTCGGAGCAGTGATCACTTACGCGGTGGTCCTGCAGCAACTGATCTGAACCCATCTTCGGAGACCGTGATTAGCGGAGAGTTTCCGTATTTCGCGTGAGCTTGAGGGGTATATGAGCGACGAAACGAGGTGAACATCGCGTAGCGTGAGGATCAGAGAGAGCATCTCGAGCGATATGTGATCAGATAGAGGATGTTGAGTCTTACTTCACGAGAACCTGAGGAGAGAGGAACCCGCGGTCAATTCGATCAGAAGCGAGCTCGACCGAAAATCCCTTCAACAGGAAAGATAGACGACGGTTTGCTCGCCTAGGGGTAGCCTTCGAGCCTAGATCCTTGCTACATGTATGGTACAATAAGAGTCTTCGGGTTGGCGCGTGATGGTTCCGACCGCCTCGCCCCCTCCTGAAACTCGGATCGCCACCCCCTCCCTCCTTCTTCCCAGAAAGATATCCCGAGCGCCTCTGACTCATACCTCGTGATGATCATTTAATGTCTTGGATCGGTTTTTGGATCCTCCGGAGTCAAGAGCTCTCTTGGTCTGCCAGAAAAAAATAGCGCCTGCGCTGATAGTTATGTGTGGCCGCCAACACGTCGAGTCGTCAATCTGTATCAATCATATCGATCGGGTCCGTGGGAACCGCAACGGTTTTGCAAAAAGTCATCGCTGCATCGCCTAGTTATCGGTCCTACGGGTAGTCTGAGGCTGTTTCTGTGATGGAACTCCCCGGACTATGTGGATAAACTGTCAATCCTTCACGTATGAGAAAAAAATTATACAGGATTTAGATGTGTACTACCATTCGAGAATGCATTGAAGAACGGAGTTTTCGAAATTCCGCTCGATGAAGCTTGATTGCCATCAAACGAAGAAACCCAGAGACGCCACAATGCTCGGGTTCCCTGGCAAGCTGCGTAATCGATTCGGGAGCTGCTCTCCGGATGAACGAACGTTCCAGAGAAGGATTCGACCAAATGCCGACACTTAATATCGAAGCTCCTCACTCTCGAACCCGATCCGACCGTCAGTCCAAAGGCGAGTCGGAGAGCGGTGCGACTTTTTTCCTCCGTTATATCTCGTGCCCGACCCCTTGGCTGTGCGGCACACGACTCGGATCCGTATTGATTCATCCCCGAATAAGCCTCGGTGGGCTCGACAGACGCCCGTCTTGGAGCAGTTCTGTCCCCAAAAGCATTGCAAGCGAGACATCGCAAAACTCTCCTCAATCGACGGTTTCGTTGCTCTGCTCTAATCGGGAGCACCCTCGCCCCTGTGAACCCTCTCGGTCTGTTGGCGTCTCCACTCTATAATCGGGAGCCCGGTAGTTGGCAGCAAGCGCTCTTGTCGATTCCCAGTCTGGTACGTCTTTCTAAAGTGTCCACGGACCACCCCTTCGGTTGCAGTGTCACGTGTTCGATTCTGCCTCATTCGAGAATGCGGAAGGCTTCGAGACCGAGCTCTTCCCTGATGAAATCTTCCGGGAGCTCGAGATGTTCTGAAGATCGATCATCGGAGTTCGGTAATCCGAGAATCCAGTGTACCTGTCTGCCTTGAAGGCTGCTTGAATCGTTCCAGTGGACATTCGTGGATTATCCGGGATACTGTGGCAGCATCGTCCGGTGAAGCGCAGAGTGTGACGGGGACGGGATCTCCAGCGACGAATGTGGTTTCATTGATGGCTTTGATTGGTCGTCGACATTCTCTAATATCCGCGACCTTGGTCGATGCAATCTGATTCATTGATGTGGGTTACCAGCCCTACGCGGAGAGAATTCTGGGAGAAAGACCGATTGCCCATGGCTCTGAACGAGCTTGGACCCCCTCAGAAGCCGAGGCCCCGTTCAGGGGAACCAGGACGAAAATCCAGAACGGTCCGAGGATACTCTTGCTCTCTCTCGGACGCATACCAGATCCGCACGTAACCGGTGCGCCATATCGGCGAGCTGGGGGCTCCTCGAAGGGAGCCGCGCTCAGACGCCGGCAGCAATAGCCTTCCGGCATCCCAAGCGTGAAGTAGTCGAAACGGCCCCCTAGAAACCATGTGTCGACGCAGAAATCATGGCGTCGGCGTCCTCGACAAAAGACTTTTGCGCCACTGGTCGGACTTTTGGTTTATCCGGAATCAATTGCGTGTGTCCTGACGGGAAAAACGGTGTTGAAGCTTTCCTTATCGTTTCGTTTTTTTTGCGCCGCCAAGTAAGGGGTGAGTGCTCAGCGTCAAACATCATCGTGGCCCGCTGTCAAGCGTGGCTTCACCAAATGGCTCAAAGTTCAGCAGCGAACAAGTTTGCTCACTTTGCGTGACGCTCAGCTGGGTGTCTTTGTGTCCGTCTGTCGGGGTGTGTAGCTGGGCGTCCTTTCCAAGCATCTTCCAGTGATAGTGCGAGGCTCGTGGAAGTTCGATATCGCCACCGACTAACTCGACTCGTTTTCTCGGATATCAGTGCACATCACATCAAATCGGCAAGGCAACACCGAGTGAGCAATGAGACGTTGAGCGAATGATATCGGAGCTCCCGGAGAAGGTTCTCCTCCGAACAATTTGGCTGGAATTTGACCGTCACAATGCTGAGGAATTTTTTCGTCTATCTTTCCCTCGGTGAGTTTCCCCTTCAACTCACACTGGGTACCTCGTCGACCGGATTCGGCCTGTCGAGAGCACTAAAAGCCACTCATTTGATTGTTGTGGAATCCGAAGTCGTTGATCAATCACCCGATAGCTAAAACTTCCGGGGAAACCCCTCAGTTATCATCAGGAGATTTCTCTTCGTTCGCTTTCCCGAAAACCTCCGCGAGTTTGTCGTGGTCAGATCAGTGACGCGTGCCGAGTTCAGATGAAAATCGCTATTTCTCTCCTTCCAGTGGTATTCTTTACGGCTCCTCATTGCGACTCCGTGAAAATCTTCGTCGCGATCTCACCTGGTCTCCCTAAGGCGGTTGACAATGCTCATATTCGAGAGGTTGCCGTTCATATCACAGGCCTCAATGCGACTCTTGTAAGTGTGTATGACCAACGTATATTTTCACCTACATAGAACTGAAATCGCGCGTATAAGCGCGCCCCGCCTAGGGCTCGGACACTATTTTCTAATCTGTTTCGGTCAATTCGGGTGGAGAGGGCTCAACCACAAGGTGAAGAAGGAGACTGAATATTCTGCGACCGACGCCTCAAAATAGAGGAGGGTTCCGCCATAGAAGGGGCTTGCTCATACGCGGGATTTCAGAGTACGTGTCGGTAGGGTCGAGGTATCGGTCGCAGGTATCCTGCTGCCAGACTCATCGGAGCCAGTCGTTCCACCATGGGTAGTCGAGATTCAGACGAGAGTCGGAAATCAGCGTCCGTAATTCCTCTGCAAGGATCCTCGGTTTTCAGCTCGGCGAATCGACGCTGGTACTCGCACGGGATGCTGAGTTCCGTTCCGTCTTGAAGCGAATCAAAGTCTACGACGAAATCGAAGACGACGAGAATCCGAGCGAAGGAAGAGTGTTCACAGGTTTTGTGATTCCACCGGTATGTTACCAGCAAGCAGCCGGATAAGTCAATCAGCTTCAGAGCTTTTCTCGTTCGCATATCTGTATGGAGAGGCACCGAGCACATGTGTTGTTCCTCCTTTCAGACGAATTTCAGTGCCAAAAAACCGTTCTCCGAATGCGTGGGATACTTCGTGAGGCTCGAGTGGAAATCTCGTTCAGTAGCTTCGGCCTGCTTACGAGTCTACCCGGACTGGATGTCCGAGCTCGTGGACCAAGAACCCGCGACGGGTGAGAAAAATGCCTTCGTGTTGAATATCCCAGGAGAGAAAAACGAACGGACCACCAATCCTCCGTTGAACCGTTTCTTGTCTCAAGGAGCTCGGTTCCAGGTAATCTGACGTTGAATGCTTTGGCGATCCCTGGTACGCATAACGCGGGCGCTTACAGAGTATACGACGCTTCCTCGGAATCTGTAGTGACATGGTAAGAGAGACATCGCTCCAATCTAGCGCAGCCCTATCTCGGCTCAAGGAAGTGGGGCACACGAACACGTGACGACGGTCGGTCTCTTCTTTTCTCTTTGATCTTCTCCCCTTCTGTATTCTTCCTGCTTATCAATTTCAAAACAGCGATAAAACAAGATAAGGGCTCTTGGGGACCTTGAACTTGAGGAGGACCGAACCACTGTGTTGACGGACACGTGATCCGGCCAGATAAGAGATTCTTAGTTCCGTGAGAGTTGGGCGTTGTGAGGCTCACGCTTCGGATATTTTCCACGGCCAGGATGGAGCATCGGGGCTCCTGTGGGTGCCGGCACTTCGAAGTTTGGAGGGATTCATTATTTCCGTGAATTATCTGATTCCGGGAGCATCCTACACGGTCCGGCTGTTCCAAGGCCCTCCTTAGGCACAATGTTCTCCTTCCGTACCAACGTTCTCTGCACCGCTGAGAAATGACGGAACCCTCGACAAATATCATTGAAAACCTCCCGCTCCAGGTATCGTGATTGCCAAGAGGAAGATATCTACTCACAACTTCTTTACGGGAGTCGTTTCTTAGACATTCGGCCCGGGGTGGTGACCGTGAACAGTGAGTTCAAGATCCTCCTGATGAGTATTCGTTCCCGAAGGAAGCTCAAGATGGCACCCGCTATCTCCGGAATCACTGTATTTTCAGACACGCGTACGTACTGGGTTTTCCACGCTGCGTTCAGAACCGACAATCTGCTCGAGAAGGTTCTGGATGATGTCAAGCTCTTCCTCGACGAGCACAAACGCGAGGTCAGTCCCGATGCTAAATTCTTCCCGACGGTGCCGCTATCGAACAGAACCAGGAGAATATGCGTCGGACTGAGTTCGTCAGTCGGGACATGTGTCGCGATTAGACAACATAAATTCGTCATGTTCTCAAACCGGTCTTTTGATTGAAGATTGTATTCATCGATTTCCATGAGTTTCCGTGGGGGTTCAAAACGACTTCGGACTACGCAGCTCTCGGTGATATTGTGGAAGGAAAACTCGGTGAGTGAGGTAGTCGTGACTCGTGATCAAAGCACCACGGTCACGGCCGGCGTCAAACAAACACCGTCTTCAATTGACCTGGGCTAAAAGTTTAACCGAACTTCGAAGGTCCCTATATGCTCCAGTATCGACCGCACATGATCACCCTGAACGAGGCGATTGCCCTAAACCAACGCGCGGTGGTCACGTTCGATCAAGACGATGCGCTAGCGCGACGATTTCTGCCAGGAGTGAACCATGCATGGGCGAATACAGATAATCTGGATAACCTCAGCGTGAGGCTTCGAATGATGCAGCTCAGTAGAAGCGAAGGCAACCGCCTGTACTCAGCCATGGCTCAAATCACGCCTAAAGGTTCGCAATGTGTCCGGTGCTCTTGCTGAGATTCCGGTAGCTCGACGAGTTAGCGATTTATCACACTTTCGATGATCTCCAACAAAATCCTCATGGGATCGATTTTATCTCGTACAGGCGCCTGGAACATAATCCTCGATAAATACCAAGGAGGGGTGCGGGGATTATCCCATAGAAACAACTTCAAAGTAAGCGGAAACTCAGTGTTCCTCGTTCCCAGTATTGTTCGCTGTGTCTTGTCCTCGAGTCGAATTCTCGCTTCTCGCTTCGCAGGTGTTGTCGTGGTGGCGGAATTCACCCGAGTACCAGTCGACCACGAACCTCATCGCAATGGATTATTTAACTTCGAGCAGTGTCGTCGACCTTTGTCGGGACATCAACCTCGAGCGGGGAGGTCAACTTTCGAAGCGACAGTACCATGCTAAATATTTCTGATAAATGGTATTGTACGGATACCTTGGGACTCGTCTATGATCCATTAATTATTTATCGCAGTCATCGGAATCCAGGAAATCGAGTATACCCTTAGGTAGCTTCATTGAATTCCCATGTCGGCTTTGCACTGATTGTACCCGACTCGGCATGGCCACGAAACAACAGCCATTGTTTCGTGTCCGACATGGTCATCGGTCCCTGAGGATCGATCTCATGCCAGATTCATAACAGATCCTGTGGACCACGGACATCTACGCGCGGTCTCCTGAAAATCAGAGAAAATCAAATTATCGCGCGGTCTCCCTCCTTTCTATCATCGCTTCCAAGCAGCATCCCCTGGCATCATAGGGAAATCTTTCAGCCCCTGGTCCAGCCCCCTTCATGTTGTTCAGAAAGCGGATGGCACCAAAAGACCGTGCGGTGACTCCCGGCAGGTGAACGCTGTCACTGAATCGGATCGATACCCTCTGCCCCATATTTACGATTTCGCAGGGAAGAAGCACCATTTTCTCGAAGATCGACCTGGTGAAAGGGTACCACTAAATCCCGATGGCCCCGGAAGATATCCCTAAAACCGCCATAATTACCTCCTTCGGTCTCTGGGAGTACACACGGAGGCCCTTTGGTCTCCGGAACGGCGCTCAAACGACCCAACGTCTCCTGGATTGGCTACCTCCCGTTCCTATTCGTCTATCTCGACGATGTCCTCGTCGCATTCAAAGGCAAAGCACAGCATCTCAAACACCTGAGACTCCTCCTCGAGAGACTTAAGAATCATGGTCTCGTCGTCAATGCCGAAAAGTGTAACTTCGGTCTATCAACTGCGGATTTCCTCGGACACAGAGTCCCCAGCAAAGGAATCGCCCCACTCGCGAGCGAAGTTGACGCTATACGCTCATTCCCGCAGCCGAAAACAATGCTAGAGCTACAAAGATTCGTTTGGATGGCTAACTACTACCATCGCTTTCTTCCACAAGCTGCTAAGGTTATGTCACCGCTGTTCCTCGCATTGGACGTAGACCCGAAATCCAAGAACGAAGCAATCCTGTGGGGAGACGATCGGTGCTTTTGACGCAACGAAAGAATTACTCGCGCAGGCGATCCTACTCGCTCACCTTCTGGAAGGCGCACCTCTCGCCATCGTTACGGACGCCTCGGAGGTGGCAGTGGGAATTCTTCAGCAGGAAGCACCAGAGACGAGATACAGCGCGTTCGACAGAGACCTCCTAGCCATGTATCGCGCTACGCGACATTTTCTCCACAACATCGAAGGCCGCCCCTTCACAATCTTCACCGATCACAAGCCGCTCATTCTCTGCCTATCCAAGAGGACCTCTCCCCTTCCTGCAAGGCAACAGCGGCATCTGTCCTTCATTGCCGAGCTCACCTCAGACATCAAACACATCTCCGGACGAAGCAACGTGGTCGCCGATGCCCTCTCGCGGCCTTCGGAGGTCGGCGACGTTTCGCTAGGGATTGATTACTCCCAACTTGCAAGCGACCGGAAAGAGGACCCAGAATACGCGAGAAGCGGTAGCGTAGACTCTGGCTTGAAGGGGGAACACATTGACTTGACTCCCTCGGGGCCGCCCCTGCCGTGCGACATCTCCACAGGTGTTCCCGGACCCTGGCTCCCAAAGGGTTGGCGTCGGAGAGTGTTGGATCTTCTACATGGGGTGTCACACCCGGGGGCAAATACGACAGTCAAGCTTATGTCGAGGCGTTTTGTCTAGCACGGACTAGCAAAGGAGATACGCCATTGGGCTCGCTGCTGCATCGAGTGTCAGCGTTGCGAGGTCCGTCGCCACGTCAGAAGCGATCTCGGTCAGTTCACGAGCCCTTCCGCGAGATTCTCCCACGTACACGTTGACATCGTCGGACCATTGCCATGCTCCGCTGCCTTGCAATACTTGCTCACGGCGGTTGACACGTATACCAGACGGCCCGAGGCGATTCCCCTCAGAGAGATAACGGCTGGAACCTGTGCTCGCGCTTCTCTCAACTCCTGGATTTCACGTTTCGGTGTACCATCCCATGTCACGTCTGACCATGGCGGCCAATTCGTCTCCGGCCTTTGGACCTATCTCGCCGAAGCGCTAGGAGTTGTCATACACCGTACGACAGCATTTCACCCGCAAGCGAACGGCATGGTGGAACTTTTCCACCGTCAGCTAAAAGCGGCACTGCGAGCGAAACTCACGACTTCGACCTGGCTCCGGGAGCTTCCTTGGGTGTTACTGGGCCGACGCGCAGTTCCAAAAGACGACCTAGATGCTCGAAGGCCGAGCTGGTCTACGGCAGTGCATCACGACTTCCTGGAGAGTTCGTACAAGGGACAGCCTCCAAGAACCCATCAGAGCGTTTACACGAGCTTCGCAACAAAGTCGACACGCTCATGCCTACACCACCGCGCTGGCAGCGAAGGACGGCAGCGACGGCCAAGTCCGACCCCACGCGCGCTCTGTGGACTTGGAGAAAGTCGTCGGAACCCTAGAGCCTGGCTCCAGAGGGCGGAGCCGTGGTCGGAATCTGGTGGTATAAGTACAGATAGTGGCAGCGATTTCCTCCTTCGGCCTGTTCCTCATTACCCGATCGAAAGCTCCATAATCCTGACGGCGATGCGTCCCTCATCGTTGTACCCACAAGTCCGGGTACGTGCCAAAATGCTGCTCGCCGGAAGGGAGCTTGCTCGCATACGTCACGCGTTTCTTGCATCCGGTGAAATCAACAGCCAACCGTCGCGTCGCTGGCTCCGTCAGGGCTCCACAGTAGGGTTTTCAAGACGCATCGATCACTGTCCCAGCACATCTTCCGTCACGTGGGCGTCTTGCGTAGGTACATCCCCGAGCCGATGCGTCCTTGGAAGCTTCCCTCGCGAAGCCTCTGAACACTAAAGAGACGGGCTCATTTATCTTTTTCGCATGTTTCTCGAATTATTAACAAGCCCGCTAAGAAGGCTGAACGAATAAACTCACCGAGTGAGATATGATTCTCAGTCCATCCAGCACCGAGGGACAGAAATCGAGAACGCCTGGGGGAAGAATCGATTCGCGTATGGAGTTGTCGGAGAAACATGGATTTTTTTTTGAATGAAGGCGCTCGGCTTCATTAGGAATACGGGATTGATTAGAAAAGTCCGCCAGGGCAAGGCCCTGTCAGTGGTCAGCAGCTACGTATATCACGAAAAGCTTAGGGTTACCTAAATCTGGGCAACGTTGAGATCGTAGCTGAGATGTTAAAGACACATAAAACTAGCAAACTAACAAAAAAGGACAAGGACCCGATCAGCGGTTTCGGATGAAACGAATTCTCTTATCGTCTTCTTCCTCTTTGCGACAGAGAGCTCTGTGTTGTCGGAGAGACCGGGTTCGGGCATGTCGTGAATTGTGGCATATCGGTTCAAATAGTACTTGTCGGATCTGATAGTTTCACATAGCGGAGGACGGAGGGCATACGCATACCGAGTCCGGTGGGTGTGAGCAGATCGCAGTAGATTCAGGGTCTCCATTGTCCTATTGAGGTTCCTGATGCGGCACTCAATTAATAGACATTGAAGATAGAGACATTTGAGGGGGACAATCCCACATCTACGGTAGAGCTCTTACATCGATTCGCCGACTCTCTTATTCATAATTCCCCCCACGACGCGATTCTGGGGGCTTTCTAATGGCTTCAGACAATTCGCGAAAGCCGAACCATTCGCCAGAATACAGTCCAGGTGATGTGACTCGAAGATGGCACGGTAGACAATCGTTGCGGTACCCGCCGAGGCCGATCTTCGCAGTCTGTCTAGGGCATCGGCGGACGTGCGTAGACGCGGGAAGAACTTGTTGATATGGAGCTCCAATGACATTTTTTTCATCAAGCTTTACACCAAGGTATCTTGAAGAAGAGACTCTATGAATGACTTCGCATCCACAAACATCATTGGCGGTAGGAATCACGAAAAATAGACGGGATACCCTCCAAGGTCGGGTGAGAAATGTGGATTGAAGAAACCCCGTGAGAGCTCAACCTAGAACCATCAGGCACGCTATTCCCCTTCGAATCCGTGATCCCTACCCGGTAAGGCGTGGGCAGAGCCTGGAAATTTTCGGAACTCTTCACGAGATCTGACGGTGTAAAACCGAAGCTCTCATGTGAATTATCGCACAGTGGCGGGATCTGCCTTCAGTGATTACCTCCTTGGTAGTCCCGATAATATCCGACCCTCCACGAACGGAGGATATCGGGTCGCCGTGATCGGCATTCGGACCCACGGGAGACGACTACTGATTGACGAACTGTGTGCAAGGCCTCAGGTATCCAAACGGATCCTAAGCTGGCTTGAAATCGGGACAAACTCCTTGGAGTCCGTGGGAGTCCTCACGGAGAATGAGGCGCTCCGATCGGCTGCTGTCGAGGTAAGCACCATAACAGGGCTCGGCATTACCCCCGAAAGATTTCGATGAAAGCCTCCTCATCGCTGGATTCTATTTCCCGCAGCTCAGAAGTGCTCGAATGTTGTGGAGCTCTGTGCCTGAAGCCGGTGCGATAGTGGAGTTGGACGCAAACGGGAAGGCTTTACAATTGCCGGTCTTTGGTGAAGTCTCTGAAGTTTCGGATGAAGATGGCGATCTCTACTCGGGGAGTTATCGCCAGACGGGCATCGTGAAGCTATCCGTGAATCCCATCGGCCATCAACCTTCAGAATGATTCGGGGACATCAATCTGCCGGGATATCGGAGCTGAACCCTTTGGGCGAATCAAGTATGAATCACAGGACTATCTTGAAGATTAGGGTTAAGCTCCGATATCCCGAAAGCAGAAATCCCGAACATCCATATGGAATCTGATGATCCTCTGAATATGATAGTATTGTAAACGAGGGCTTCCCGTCTTCGACGGTGACGCCGACGCAACGTCCGAGAGAACGTCGGAGCGACAAGCATTGGCGCCAAGAGTTTGTGTTTTCGATTCCTTGAGTTAAACTCAGCGTTCCCTAGCCGTGGGAGCTTCAGAAACGAAATTCCGACTTCGATCGGGGTATCCGGGACCTCGGGATCGAGAGCTAAGAAGGTTTTCCGGTCACTAACTCTCGGAGAATCTGAGCCAAATTGCGAGAGACTGCTTGGATTCCTGGTTTCGTATCGGAAAATCGGTGCTGCCTCTTGCATAAAATCAGCCCGTTTGCGGAGGGAAAGAATTCTTTGGTGGATCACCGTACGTTCCTCGCGTCCGGAATCTCCCTCCTCGTGAATCTTGAGACGAGAAAAATTGCGGTGTTTTGCTAGGGTCGCCGAAGTTGATCTTCGTAATAGTCCCCCTAATGGTTCTCAAACTTTGCTCGGGCTCTGACGACAAGACGTGTAGTGCCGAACATCGGTCCAAAGAGGAGGAGCGGGGGAAATAGACCGAACACGCCTTTCGTGTTTTCCGTTGGTGGCTCCTCGTTATTATTATATACATATCGGGAACCTAAACCTCAGTCTCATACCTTGGCGAAAAACCTATGAGACCTCCGAGTGAGAGACGGCTTGCAAAGTCCTCTCAACCGAACGTGCAGGGCGTCATGGATTCACGAGGGCGTTAGAATCGGCGTATCCGTTTTTCATTCCGAGAGGAATTTTTCTGACTTTCCTTAAACCCACGGCCTCGTCTTCTCCCTCCCTCCCACATCCTTGAGCCCAGCAAGCCAGGTTACGCGTCAATTGGATCTCTTAAAGAGCTTTTTGACGGTTCATATTTCACCCCGGATCGAATCAAACTCAACCTCGTTCCGGATCGGAATCTCCTTCTTAGCCATTCACGGGTTCGGGTGAGTCGCGCCCTTCGATGCCGGGTCCGGAGACTCAGTCACAGAGGAGTCTGGCCATGTTTTTTTTAATTTTGAAGATAATCTATTCTTTATTCGCTGCCCGGCACGTTTATATTCATAGGTACATTGGGAACTACTTCAGGCAGGCATCCCAAACTATCGGTCTCCTAGGGTCGGCTCATGGGATGTCGAATTCCGTCGAGTTCGGGCCTTTCCCCTGCCTCTCCCAAGTCTCTTCAAAATTTCCCCCACCGTTTCTGTGACGTCTCTCCAGTCTCTCTCTGAGTTCATCTTCTTTTCCACCAGGTCGGGGATGCTTGGAGCCGACAGCCCGCCGCGCTCCCTCGAGTATGCCGGGCACCTTAGAATTCTGTGTTCCAAATTGTCTTCCTCGCCGCCCTGACAGTAGGGGCACGCCTCGGATGGGGCTCGGTCGATCCTTGTCAGATATGTTTGGAAGCTCCCATAACCCGTCAGCATCTGTGCTGTGTAGTACGTGTGGTCACCCCATTCTCGATCTTACCAGAGGTGGACATTCGGGATGCATTTCTTCTGTTCTTGTTCGATTCGTAGAGCTTCGTCCTCCCCTCCGCCCGGAGCGTCCACGGAACGATTCGTGCCAGCACGAAGGTCGTCTCCGTGGCAGCTGTTCGGTAGCCTCGTGCGATTCGGATGGCCTTGATTCGTTGAGCTCGTTCCAGGGCCTTTCAGTTCTCATGTAGTTGCAGTGCGCACGGGGACCAGATTGGAGCCGCATAATGAGCCATGAGTTCGGCGACCGTGGCCAATAGCCTCCTCTGTTCTTTTGATGCGCCATATGTCCGCGGGAGGAGTCTGGCCATGTTGGTCAAGCCAATTCTGCGGAAGTAACTCCTGGTCGTTTTGCCGTTCGCAGCCACTTTTCTTCCAAAGGGTGCATGGCGTTCTGGAGACTCCTGTCTAATCTGCACTCTACGGAGGCAAAAGTCCTCGTCTGAAAAAGATACAGTTAATAGGTCAGGAGTGGGGGTCGACTTCCGGCACGGTAATCGCGGTTGCGACAAATACCGCCTTTCTCCTAATTTCTCGAGGACACCGCGATTATCTCCATCGCGAATTCATCCCGACTCTCCAGTACTGTGTTCGTGGGAACTTTTTGATTTTTCTCGTTATCGACGAGATGGACCTCCTGATTAAATGGTTCGACGTCTCTTGTGAGAATGAAGCTATTCTCGAGCTCACGACAATCGCATACCACAAGTCGTCAGGGAAGCTGCGGAGTTATTTCTCAACTGATGGAGCAGCCGAACGGTAGCCCACAGCAAGCTTTCCCCGGGCGTTTCGAGTGTGACCAGACCATGAGCATGGCCGAAAAATTCGTCGTATAGAATGTACTCTGGTTCGAGGATGACGACCACGCGACAGCGAAACTTCGAGCATATCTGGCGGCTTCAAATGAAGTTGTTCATTCTTCGTCAACCTCAACTTTCTGGATGAAAGCATCGGTACGATTCCCAGAGCCCTCCCAAATAGCTTCTGCGCTTGAGCGTTCCCATCAATAGAACCCCGAGACTCATTCAGAAAACTTATTCCATTGAGGGACTTTATTTGCTGGAGAGTATACGAAAGTCATATTATTATCAAGCTCAGCAGAGCGGCGATTCTTCTACCTACGAACTAGGGACTGCGGCTCTTCAGGGAACATTCGCTTCAATTCACTCGGCTCCCGACGAAATCAGTTTTTCTAAAAAAGGTCAGTGTGTACTTCTGTACCTGTACACACTTTCCGATCAGTGAGCTTATCATTGAATTTTCGATGCAGTGTCGAAGCCTGATCTGCGGGTTTTCCTTCAAGTCCTATGCACCGTGAGGTTCAGAATGTCGGCGAGTGCCGCAAACTCTTTGCTCAAGGCTTTGATGTGCTCGATCGCCTCAGCTTCTGCGGAGGCCTCGTTGAACTCGCCGAAGAAGTTTGTCGCACGGCTTAGCTCTGCGCAAAAATCCTCGGCGGCAGTTTGTTGCCCTTGCGCCATCAGTATCGAAGTTCTCCACGTGAATATGAGGCCGCATAAGAGGAGCGCTATTTTTCCAATGCGGGCCAAGCTCATTCCGCGGCAGCATTGCGCCATCCAGTTCTCGGTCCGCTTCTGCGCACGTTTTCTGTGCTCTGGAGATTCCCCTTTCATTTGCGCTCGCCGAGGGCTAATCTCCTGGTCTGAAAAAGATATGTACAGTCCATAGGTCATGAGTCATGAGTGGCATGAGTTATGACTAGAGTTGCGATAAGAGAGGACACTCTTCTCCTGCGAAAAGGAGGATCTTTGCGCGGACTTCGGGACCGGGACGAAAAGCGGACATCGAAAGCGGGCACTGTTCCATTTTTTTCGCCATTTCTATGGATTTAATTCAGCTATCCAACTATTTTCCCAATGAGCAACACTCGAGTGAACTTCGCTGTCCGTAAACGATCATTCAGAGACGATTCGCTGAGGAGAAAATTTCAGACCCATCCCCTTGGACTCGCAGTCGGCCCCTGGCTCATTTTCCTGCCGCCGAGACCTCGGGGCCGAGAAAGAATGAACAGCGAAGAAGTTAAATCTTTTCCATCAAGTTCAGAGGTATTTCTCCGAAAATTCCGAAGGGCGAACATTTCCTTGAAAACCTCGAGAAAGCGGACAAGAATATATTGTACGTACTCATATTGTAAGGTGGTTTCTCAAGGGGGGAGGGGCTCGGTGCGGCTGATAGGGCTAATCGCGAATCGCGAGGGCTGAAGGGCTGGAAAACCGGAATGTCGAGCTCACCGGAGGCTCGCTGAGGGACTCGGGCGATCGGGACTCGGGACTCAGGACTCAGGGCTCGGGTCACGGACGGTGTCAGGATCCTGCGGATTGGTCAGGGCTGGGGGCGCACAAAATGAAGGGGCGACTGATAAGCCGAGTGACTCTATCTTTCGTTGCGATTGTTTTCATTCTGCCCTCCTTCTCGATTCCCTTGCAATTCTATTGGCTCCGCCGTGCCCGAGGGCAACGCCGCCCCTCGAGCGCGGCGGGAGCCTTTGATTTTGTATCTCTAGCAGCGCACGTCGTTTTGTTACAACCTCTCTCAGCCGTCCCTCGTTCTCCCCGGATCCGCAGGGCGCACTGCATCCGTGCGCTCACTAGACCTGCCGATCCCGGTTTCTCTCGGGGCATCTGTTCCTGATTCACACATTCGACTAGCACTCTAGGTTCTTCCCTTGAGGTTCCCTTCCATCGACTTCATCTCCGTCACAATATCGCCGGCCTTGTTATGACTTATGACTTGAGACGTGCAACGCTTTCACCGATCGACGACAGCCCTTATATTCCCGTAGACCTCTGATGACGTTCAAGGAATGTCTCCAGCTCAAACGATGAGGATCAGATGATGAGGAAAAGATTCTGAAAAAGCCCGATAGGGAATTCCCCTTCTCTTTCTCAATTATTCGCGATGCTTGCTCAATAAACTCAGTTCCTTTCTTCTGACTTCAACGCATCTTCTCACGGGCCTCGACGGTTAAGAATGATTTCCCATCGCATAGTCATGTATCCAATGACTTCTGCCTCGGTCGACAAGATACTGACTGAGAGTTATCCGAAAAACAGCCCAGGTCGGTCAAAGGCATATCGATTCGGGAGAATGTTGCCGAAGGTAGGTCCGAACCGACCAAGTCAGAGATGCGCGCCGATGAGAGACGGAGAGCGATAGCGCCTATCGAGAGTTGAGCTTGTAATTTGAGGAGGAGACTTGTCGATCGAATAGAAAAGGGTTGAGCAGATCACAAGACATGCCCGCGTTGGTGCTTCTCGGAAGTCCACGCCGTTTGACGTCAGAGAAGAGCGCAAGGAGCGCCCGATCCCAGATTCGTCGTTCGAAACTGCCGGTGCGGATCAATGTCATCATTGGCGTGCTCGCCACTAGCCACAGTCAAGGCGCTGATGCAGCGGGTGTAGAAGCTGCTGGTAAGGCAGAGCGTTAGCAGAACCGTCGCGACTTCTGCATGTGAACTTGCTGCTGGAGCTGCTGCTGTATAACCAATTGCGAGTTGAAGTAGTACCGAGTTCAGTGCCGTTGGAATCCCAGCTATCGACCACAGAGACCTTCCATACCGTCGAAGAAGTGCCGAAATCGGATTTTGAAAGTTTTCCTAGGGATAATAATTCGACATAAGCGGTGTCCGTCTGATACCGCGCCTGTGTTTGCGAAGTTTGGAAAAATCTACGGTCTGGAGCATAACACACCGACGATGGCAAACGAAGAAATTCCCGAGATCGAGCTTATCATCAAGGTTAGTGAAATTATCCTGAACTCTTATCCCAACGGACGTTTTCCAACGGATGCCGAAACGTTGTCAACGGTTTCCGACAAGGATGAAATTTCCTCATCCCTTCCAACTCTTTGTTGTCGACGATCCTCGACGATGTTTGTCCTTGCGTCCACGTTCGCTGATTTTTGAAAGACAGCTCGACCCGCCGAGAGTTCGTCAAGCGCTCGACGTTGAACTTTTCGTGGTCTATCGACCTGAAATCGAAAATTGCACATCGGTATTTCTGAAGCTCATCGCTTTTGGTTGAAGCTCCCGGAGCTGACATTGTGAGCATTTCATGCACATCAGAATGACAAGCGCCATTCGCTCAACGAATCTAACGCAATCGGCGGCCGCAAATGAGCGCCCGCGGACTCGGAATCGGAAGAAGCCCCGGTGCAGAGGAACGTACCTACCTGATCCGGCAAAAAATACCGTCGACGATACGGCGGAAGAGAGCTTGGTAAACTCCCGGGCCTCTTCTGCTGGGCTGCTCGTGGCGGTAGTTGTGGCATCGCCGGTGTTTTCTTTTTGCCTGCTTGCCTGCCTGACGGTCTCCCTGCTCAGCTGCCTGTCTGCCTGGATGGCTTGCCGGATAGCAGCAGGAGCAACGACGGCAGCGGCGTCAGCCATAGCGTCTTTTTCGTATCGAAAGCACGTTTGCGGCGTTGGTGGCAGGATCGACTCGAGGTTTTCAGCGTTACCCGCGATCCTCGATCCAGGCCCTATGTTTCCGTGACCGGTACGCCGTCTGATCTTTAGCGGCTCCGTGCCGGAGACTTCGGCTGACTGGTTAGCGCATGGCGGAGGATCTTACATTCTTGGTGTATGGGTCAAAGTCGAAAGCGCGTAACTTCACCGATTTACGTGGTGTTCTGGCAGGAGCGCACATCGAGTGGCAGCAGCGGAACTAGATCATAGGACACCTCGGAGACCACCCGCACGCCTGGCCGCAACGGGTTCGATCGACCGTCAGTCCACAGTGGACGAATATCATCGCCAGGAAGGCTGATAGTACACCTATTTCTGCCAATAACGTCGCGGCTTTCGCTGTTTTTGAGTTGTGGTTTTATTGTTTTGCGGTCGCGCCCATTTTCGGCCTGGCCAGGGCTGCCGAAGCAGCAGAAGTTGCGGTGGCGGCGGCGATGGCGACGCTCGCTGTCTTAGATATCCTCCCAGCTGCGCGGAATTTGCCCTACCGTCGACAATTCGCCAGTCCGTCAGTCAGTCAGTCAGTCACTCAGTCGGTCGGCCGGTCGCTTGCGGGCTCGCTCCGAAACAAACCATTTGCTGAGTTGAATACGGCGCACCATCGGCTCGCTCTGTAGGTACAGCTGCGGCTTCCTTCTGACGACTGAACGACGGCGATGACGACGACGACAACAACAACGATGACGAAGAAAGGCACACATACTGACAGAGCCAGTCAATCGCTTGTTTGCTCCCACTCAAAGGTAGATTCTGAGATGGCAGGCCCCAAGCCTACCGAACCGACAAGGAAAACCACCGGGTCCGAGGCAGAGCTTAGGGTTGGGAGAATCCTCTCGGATTTCCACCATCCTCAGCCGGGAGTTATGCGGGTTGTCGAGAGGAGCGGTCGGAGGTGGCACAACGCTCAGACGGAGCTTTCTATCGACTGATCGTTGATCGATTCCCTAAAAAGTTGACGTGGGCTTTTTTTTCCCGATTGGGATTTGACGGTGAGGAATGACTCAATCATTTTGAGAAACAATCTCCATTCGGCTTTCTGTCCCAGGTGAGCAAAAATATAAATAGCTGGTTCCAAATGCAACCACCATCGAGTTTGATTGATAAATAATAATCGCGAGGTGTTGCCACCGCGACAGCAGCGCTGAATTCCGCCCAAGGTCGGCGAGCCGGCTGCAGGACGGATGAGCGATGGACAGGCACCGGAATCGCGAGTAACAAGCACGAGTTGTGGTCGCTCGGTCACATGCACCGCAACGACCGCTGGCTGGTTGGCCTGCAGGCGGGCGGGCGGCGGCGCTGCCTAGATTGTTCCCCTGCCGAGTTACTTGCGATACTGCTGCCGTCGCTTTTTAGAATGGTCTTCTGTCCGTCTGTCACTTTGGACAGCCGACGCGAGGTGTACCGCCGCGTCGCCGTTGCCAACGCCGCCAAGGTAGCAAGACGGTGAGCTTGCGAGTGAGCAACGAATAGTCGGCCCTCATGGATATGACTCACGCCGCAAAATTCGGGAAAACCTCTCCGAGAGGGCGACTCTGGAACGAGATTTTCATTGGACAGCGACAGCGTTGCCCATCCATTTCAGCAGACTGCGCTCTGACGGCAAGAAAATTCAGGTGCGCTTCTCGATTATTCGAGAACCTCTACCGAACCTTCCATCGGGATGGCGATCGAGGTTCCGAGATGTCGATTTGCCACCCATTCGACTCCATCGAACTCGGGGGTGATCACTACGCTCTCCGTTTGTGACCGAGCGGCGAGATTTGTGAAAGGGCCCAATCACTCACGGTAGGTATGAAGAGCTCGCGTCGAAAAAAACCCGTCAGTTCCCAGGGTAACAACAGAGTGCTGTTTACAACGGGCTCTTCTAGTACCTATGTAGACTTATCTAACCACGGATAGCTCTGTCGGTGGCTTGTCACAGAACGTCTCGCTCTCACCGTGGCTCAATCCATGCAGTCGTCCGTGCATGCATCCGTACGGACATGTGTCCGTGGCCCTCTCGATCCATGCAGCTCTCCATCTCCCATATAGTGTTACACAAGGAGCTCAGGTTTTTCCCCGTAATTTATTAGGTAGTAGATACAGAGCTGCAAAGTCGCTGCTCCGAGCGTGCGTTTAACTTCACGACCACGACTGATTCCGTTGAGAAACACTCCTGATACCTGAGCCGCTCAAGATTTTCGCTTCGCTCAAGCTTGGGTGATATAAGGCGAGAGCTACAGACTGACTGAGTGACGGACGGACCAGGAATGGCATCATGGAAGCTTCAATCACCGGCGAATTCAGGCATGCGGACTGAGCAACATTGAATGTTTTCGCGTAGAACATGCCAGCGCACGGATCACATTGTTTGATGGTCGCACGGTACGGGTTGACATCGACGACGAGGACAACGCGGTGACGGTAACAACGGCAACAAGAAGTCTACAGGCAGCGAATGAAATTGATGCTCGATCCCATCGTTGTGGAATAGTCTTGTGAATCGTGTCTTGATTTGAAAGTCGTAATGTCTTACCTTGTACTGGCACAACGCAATCGATATATCGCTCATCATTTAGCGATGTTTGAGACGTCATCGAAATATTCGAATGGATTGCTGGGATAGGATGAAATGAGTTCCATCTGAGATCCTCAAAAAATGCTAAAAAAATTTCGGCGCAATGCAATTCAAAAGAAAAAATCAGTCATTCATCACTATCGGCGTTCATCCGCTTCGTGATGCGGTTGGCAAGTTCGAATTACCTACTTTCAGTGGTGTCGCCATTGTAGAAACTGATCACGAGTTGACTGCTCCAGACAGACAAGTGTTTTGGAACGGAGTGAAAAACAACACATGTTCGGGCTAGGGAAAGCGAAGGCAACAACACGTAATAATAAAGAGGCGTTCCCCTGGGTGCAACGGAAAACTACTCAAATAGTACTTGAGAGAGACATCGACGCTAAATATACATATATATATTTATATAAATATATATACTGAGCGTCATCGTGCGGTTCGAGTTCCACCGAACGACGGAAAAAAAGGAAACGTTCCCAATCGTGCGCGTCGTGGCTTGCTGGGAAAATATGCGAATCGTCCCGGAATCTTTGAGGGCGGTTCGATCATCAGCAGAGTAACGAAACCTCGAAGCTCGCCGATGCGTCATTTGATTAAGCCCCTGACTGAACGAGGCCGTATGGGAACTCGCCACACGACCATCCGACTGCGGAATCGCGATACTGTGCCAGACACGGATCGGCGTCCCTTCCGAGTGAGTGGCATCGATTCTACTTCGGCTTTCGGGTCCTCTGAGGGATGACAGAAGCTGTCAAGCGCTTCCCATTCGGCGAAAATGTTGACGGAAGGGTGAAGTAGCGTTTCAGTTAGCAACCGCCAATCAGAGCTTTTGTATCCCCGGGCCCGACGTTGTTCGAGATGGCCTATCGACCGAGCGACTGAAATATGTTCAGCTGACCAGCCACAGATTTTTACGTCTAGACAACTTCTGGCGCCCTTCCGTAGTCTTTTTTTATCTTGTGCGGCAGGTCTTTACCGGCCCGTGGAACGGACGGCACGCGACCAGTGGCGACGAGATGGAAACTCAAGAAATAGCTCTACGCGGCATTCCTGATTTCGCCTATACTTGAAAGAGAACATGTCTATACGGCGACCGCCGAGACATCTCTATCAATCCATCTAGGTGTTCGCAATACGTAAATAATTAATCGAAGTCGATCGGTAATAATAATAGCTCATGATATGTCGGTCTTTGTGTGACTGCCTCCCGAGTCGCTCCTGTTTCAGGAAAAAGGGAAAGTTGTTCCCTATGCGATCAAAGAGCTGTCCCATTTCGATTGATGTGCAGCGCTGGTCGTCACTGAAGCCCGTCGTATCATTTTTTCTTCGCAATAAAAACGTCGAATCGAATTCGGAACTGTTGTAGTTACATCTCCGTCGACGTCAGCCGCTCACTCTCTTCCTCGACATGCCGTATCCTGCTTCAAGGTACGCTCCTCTTCAACTGCGAGCCTCTTAAGATTCTCTCACTCCTCGCCGTCATCACTCCCTTGGGAGCAGAATGTCGACCGCGAGACACGTTTACTGCCGAAAGTTCGAGATATCGAAGCAAGGAGTCCGCGTTCTGTGAGCATCCTTGAATTGCTTGTGACCGCATTGTCTCGTACGTTGAAGGTTGCGGAAAGCTTTCCGTGCGGATCGGAACCGGCTGAAATGGTCGAAGCTGTTTTCCCTGAAAGTTGTCTCGAGCTGCTCGACGTTTTTTTCTTCGCTT